CTGCCAGCATGCAGCCGACCCCCCAGATGTCGAGGCTGTAGTCGTAGTCCCTTATGTCCAGCAGCAGCTCGGGGCCCTTGTAGAACCGCGTGGCCTGGGGTATCATATATGCCGAGGGGAAGAGACCAAAGGTTGTGAGATTGGGAGCATGTGTGTATGTGTGTGTGTGTGTGGGTGTGTGTATGTGTGTGTGTGTGTGTGTGTGCCTGGAGGGAAGAGGGCCGCCGCGCACACGACCCAGCAGGTGGGGGCAGCGCGCTGGCTCGAGCCGCCGGGCGGCTGCCGCCCCGCCGCTGGCATCCCGTCGTCCGCCGCCGGCAACCGTCAGCGAGCGCCCTGCAGAGCACCGACCGGAGCAGCCCGGCCTCAAGCACAGCCGCCCGGCCCTGGTGCTTGCGCTCACCACCCTGACGGGGTACTCCTTGCCCGGGAAGTAGAAGTCCGCCAGGCCCCAGTCAATGAGCTTCAGCTGGCGCTTGGAGTGGTCGATCAGCACGTTGGCGGGCTGGGGGGTGGGCGGTGAGAGCAGTGTCAAGGCAGAGGGTGTAGGGCTTATGATTAGGGGCTCAGGGATAACGGTTCAGCAGGCTCGGGGAGGGGGTGGCAGCTCCCAGGCAGGGGGTGCGGGGGGTTTGGCTCCAGACAGCAGAAGTCTTTGGTTGAGGTAGCCGCCGCGCGGCGCCCCCTGCAAGCCGCTGCCCAGCCGCCGTCCGCCCTCGGACAAGCATGCCTCGATGAAGAATCAACTCGCAGCCCAGCACCCGTGGTCAACCGGTCCACAAAGCCAAAGGTTGACTCGAAAACACGCGTCCTGAAAGCAAAGAGCGCGCAGCACACTCACACACCTTGACATCGCGGTGCATGATGCCGCGCGAGTGCGTGAAGTCCAGCGCCTGCAGCAGCTGCAGCATGTAGTGCCGCACGTCCAGGTCAGCCACCATGCCCTGCGGCGGGTGGGGGCGGGACAGGGGCGGCGCGCGGCGCGGGTCGAGGGGACGACCGAGCAAGCTGCAGAGGGTGCCGTTCAAAGGTGGGTTGGGCCTGACTGCGTTGGCTGGCCCGCCAGCTCGTATTTTCGCTGCGGGCTGCCTCTTCGTCGGCCGTTTTCGTGCTTGCGCGGTCTGGCGCGCGCTCCCGGCACACACCCTGAGACACCTCAACCTATGCACACACCTACACCTGCAACCCACCGCCGGCGTACACACCGCTTCCCATCCGCCCCTACGCCCATCCGCTTACAACTGCCGCTGCCCCGCTCCCGCCCCGCACCCACACAACCATACCCACAATCACAACCCCTCACTATGCTCCCACCACCCACCACAACACTAACGCCCACGACTCGACTCCTCCATCCTCCTCACGCACCCACCACCCACAACCACACCCACACCCCACAAACCCATCCAGCCCCTCACATGCAGCTCCCTGAGGGGCGCCGCCGTCCACTGGCCCCCACCGCTCACACCCACATCCATCACCCACACCCACACCCACAACCACACCCAAACCTCGAAAACGTCACACACCTCCACACCTCAGTATCTCTACGCCTTGACCCACCACCCCGGCTCACACCTGCAGCTCCCTGAGAGGCAGCGCCTCCACCGACCCCCAAAAACCACACCCGCACCCACAACCACACCCACACCCACACCCACACCCACACCCACACCCTCAACCACACCCACACCCACACCCTTAGCCCACTCACAACCACAACTCCACTTCTCAACCCCCAACCAACACGTACAACCACCCCCCCCCCC